CTTATTCAACTGTCTATAATCAATACACATCCGTAAGGAACCATCTTTCTTCCTCACAAATAACACCGGCGCTCCCCACAGTGATGTGCTAGGTATGATAAAGCCTTTTTCAAGCAAGTCCTTTAGTTGTTCCTTTAACTCTTTCAGCTCTGCGGGGGCCATTCTATAGAGAGGAATAGATGTTGGATGAGTATCTAGTAGTAGGTCAATAGTAAACTCAATTTCTCACTCTAGCGGAAGACCCATAAGCTCATCGGAAAAAACATCGGGAAACTTATTAACTACAAGGATGGACTGAATGGTTGGTGACTCTACTTTCGCAGTCTTTACCCGAACTAAGTGATAATCATAACCTTTTCTGATCATCTTCCTTGCCTTAAGATAGGAGATAAATCTACCTTTCAGCGATGTTGTATTACCTTTCTACTCCAAAAACAGGATCTCCTAGAAATTAGAATCGAACCAACTTTGATCTATAATCAACGTTAGCATAACAAGAAGCCAATCAATCCATACCTATTATAATATCAAATTCTACCCAACCAAGCGCCACGTACCTCATCCTTATTTGTTATCAAACTTATCACAGGTCATAACGGGCCACATCTATATATACGTAACAATATTAGGACTTAATTCGTGGAACTCATTCAAAGCAAGAAAAAGTTTATATAAATGCATAAGGTCCGACAAGGCCGTAGACATGTCATACCCAAAACTATATACAGGATACTATCTGCAAAACCTCTAAGTAAACATAACAATAATATATACAAGTCGGGACAGGGCTCCCTACGTCCTCATAAAATAACCTAACATATCCAGAACCCTGACTTGGTAATACTCCAAGAAGAAGTGGAGCTTACCAACTAAAAGCTGACATCTGGAGGAAGTCTATAGTAGATGGTCCTTGCCTCGCCCTATATGAGAGCCTCGATCAGACACACTTCGAAGCAGAATCTTCATATCCTTATCAGTTACCTTCCTCCTCTTGGCCCGATTACTATCCTCTTCCTCTGTATATCCCATAACATACACAGACGAACCTTGATTGACGGACTCCCAAGACTGTGGACTATCTGGAACCTCAGAAGAGCTGGTGTCCGCAAATACCCTGACATAGTTTAAAGGCTGAAGGGAACCCGGTTGCTCCAATCCACGCACCACTCCCCTTATACCCTGATCAATGGGCTCTGCTAATGAAACTAAGGGCCTTGATGAGGTCGGAACTCCTCTCACCTTATCTGCTGCCGGCTAAATCGAAACTACTCGAATGGATGACTCAAATGGATCCTCGGATGGATCATCCTCGATAGAACCCATGATCTCCGTGGGATCTGACTCCATAGTGTAACTTATACCTCCTTCTAACACCTTCGTAGCCTTCTGACCCATGTTAGCGGCTTGCGCCCGTTGTTTAGTAGTAATAAGCATCACAAAAATTATAATTAATTATAGGAGCAGATACTTATGACTCAGTTCTATCACACAATCTGGATTAGAAGGAAAGTAACCATCCTAAATATCTCGTATCCTTCTGTTTATAAGTGTGGTGCACAACACACCCACAAATAAGACTCTACGAGACATGTTATGTAGACAACCCTAGGATAAAATTGCTCTGATACTACTTTTATCACGACCCAAACCCATGGGCCATGATGAGTGTCCGAGTCTTAGCTGTCGAACACCCTTAAGCATGCGTCTAAGATATAGTCATGAATAACATCTGCTGAACTATGAGAATAGCATACGTGAGGAAATCTGTCCAAAAGACATATATACATATCTGTGCAAAATACATAGGGCGAGCCGACAAGTCTGCTATAGACAACTGCATATCCAAAATTGGAAGCCGACAAGGCCACATACTATCCAACTATACATACTGTCTACAGACCTCTAATAGAAAATATAACTGTACAAGGGCTGGATTGGACCTGGTCGTACTCATATATGTATACAAACATATCGTACTAAAATCCAAAACAGCTCCGGATCAAATGGAGCACACCAACTCTCGCTGATTAAGGATCCTAAGAAGGGGGACCGTCAGACTGTCTACCTGCACCTGCGGGCATGAAACGCAGGCCCCAAGAAATAAGGCATCAGTACGAATAATGTACTGAGTATGTGAAGCATGAAAATCAGTACATAAGAGATATAGATGAAACATGGAATAAGGAATTCCGCCCGTAAGTCTAAATAACTTTGTAAATCCCTAAATATTTATAATGTCATGAACGTGCGTGTAAATGTCGTGTCATGCATAGGTATAGGTGTACATAACATCATCGAGCCTCTGAGGGCATCCCATCATATCATCTCGGCCACTGTGGTCAACATTATCAACGTATACCAGCTGATCAGGTGGTGGTGCGTATATAACGCCATAACCTTTTCCCATATCCATATATATATATATATATATACATATATACGCGTATATAATGTCGTATGGTTATGGGTCAATGTACATGTATAAACGAATGCAATGCATGAGAAGTATGTCAATAAAATTTTTCGAAATGTCATAAGACCATTATCGAACTACTTGACAATTGAAATTAAAGTAAGTTACTAATAAGCTAAGTATTAATTACTTGCCTACTACAAGTGCAATATGGTAAAGCTAATTAAGAATTTCAATGCACCAATCTCCACACTAACCTTAACCATTATTCCTACATATGGAGGACAAGAATCTAGGTAATAAAAAAATGTACATTTGGATATTTTACCTACTATTCTCCCAATAATAATGAATAGAAAATAATATATGGAGAAGTTTTAGCAAAAAAATGTAGATATCATTTGAAAAAATTAGGGAAAAATATTTTGAAACTGCTAACTTTAACTTTTATAATATTGCAAAATGAATATTTCTTTAAGCCAAGAAATAGAGTTTTAGAATTTCTACGATCTCCAATTCAAATACATATGATATACAACCCAAATAATGATAGTAAATTGACATAATGTATACAAAATCCCGCATACTGCTGAATATCTAGTGCTCTGCAAGGTTTGGCCATGTACTTGCACAATTCATATTCTTAAAAGACGGAAAATATGAAATGTTTGTATTTCTCAAAGAATTTGTAATATCATGAAGTAAACTTGATCAACTTACATATTTTCTGAGACCCATGAACAGACGATAGAATATAAGACTTATGGGAGAGTAAGAATATACACATGTCTAGTATTTTTACGAATAGAGTAATTTATAAAAGTTGTGCATTTGCTTATTTCGCTTGTGTTGTATAGATCATCCCAAAAAGAAAGAAGAGATAACCTTAACATACCCGGAGTAGGGAAAAAGCCGTATGATATTCTTGGAAAAAATTGCACCGTACTCCTTTAGAATTACAAAATCTCACGTTGCTAAGGTGTTAAGAATTCTCGTTGGAAATTTTGTTTCAAGAAATTGCGTTGAAATCTCATTGGATTGAGGTTAACATTTGTTTTGCAAGCTTTGAATTAGGAAGAAAGTTATAAAGGATTGGATTGAAGCCAAATGAAGCTAATGTTTGAATTAGAGTCCTTGTTATTCATTAAATTGTTGTTAAAGAAAGAGACGTATCTATCTTTGAGTTATAAGGCCCTATGTTGAATTAATTGCCACCTAATCCATAATGATTAAGAGTCATATGGTTTGGTAGTGGTTTGCTGCCACGTGGGGTGGGGGTGGGATGGTTTTAATCTTTATCCATAACTCATTAGTTAATTAGTTAATATTTTATTATCCAATAATTAATCAATTTTTTATATAATTAAGAATTATCTCAGCTTACTTAAAATACTATTCATTTTTAACATACTTTATACACCTTACTATCATGGTCATGTAGTACCTTGTATGACACTAGTCCATAAATATCGGTTACTATAGCTCGGACCGTATTCTATCCCATATTGACAAACTTCGACAAAATTCACTTTCTTTGATTCGTTTACCTTTTAACCCTTACGACACTTTCATATCTCTTGTTATAAATAGCATAAATACTTATAACCTCAAGATAATCTCATCCCCGAGTCTACGTCGATTAACTTACGACGAAATTTTTACGTACGAAAACGTGAGATGTAACAGGAACTGTCACATATCTTGTGTTACCAAAAAAAATCTTTGCTTGCACCCTCCATTGCCATTAGTTAAGCTACTTTGTTCGTCTTCCTATAGCTGTGCTTCATCACCACGTTTCTTAGTCTTAGGATGATTGACCTGTATTTAAAAATAATTGGGTCAAATACATGATTACCCGAGTTAAGTATTCTTATTACCTCAATCGAGTATGTGTTGATTTCAAGTGGTATGAGTCTTCTTTGATCAGCAATCTGCAATCCCTCGGCAAGGAGAACAGATATAGTTGTCAAAGTAAGTATGAAGCCTCTAAATTATAAATTGTTGATTGTCTATTTGGATGGTTGTTACACATTGTTTTGTTTCATAATATATAGTATAGTATTGTATTGTATTATACCGTTTGATGAATATAATATTTGGATAGATTGTATTGTTTGCCGTCGTTTTATAATATCACACACCAGCTATATGAAGAATAATCTTGCAATATTATAAAGAAAAATTATGATGCGGGGTAGAATTATTATATAAAAAGGTAGGGTAAATGGTAAAATAAAATTATTTATTAATAATGAAGGGCAAGATATGAGAAAAAAAAGGTAACGATGCGACCACACCAAATCAGTTGTTACATAAAGTGACACATTTCATCATTACGTAACGATAGATTTAACGATATGATGCAATAAACTTTAAGTAATAATTAAAACAAACATCATATTTGAAGTAATAATACGATATAATACAACACGTAACAACCCTTCAAACAAGCCCTAAAAGTGAGATAACGTAAAAAAAATAAAAAATAAAAAATAAAATTAAGACCATCTTTAAGCAATTCATTACTGTATAAAATAAGTAAAATGAAAGTTATGACTTATGAAAGACCAGAGTTCGTATTGTTATACGCATTATATATAGGTTGCCGCCGCTACACTTTCTGCAAAGTAAAATTCTCGCAGCTGAAAGAGCAAAATGAAAGTGTTATGAAAACCAGAAATCAGCGCAGGCGGTAAAGATTTCTTCTGTCTTTGCTTCAGACTACTGAATATCAATGCTAAGAATGCAACAATGAGACGCAAAAATCAAACCCATCATACTCCCTCAACTCATGGCAGCTATGTTACCCAAAAAGCTTACCCCAAAATCCCTCTTAAAACTCCTCAAATCTTCAAAAAACCTCAACACATCTCTCTCCTTATTCGACATAGCTTCACAACATCCAAATTACACTCACGACGCCATTATCTATCACCATATTCTCCGCAAACTTTCCCTTTCTTCCGATCCAAGATGCATCCCTCACATGAACCGTATCGTCGATATGATTCAAACCCAGAAATGTTTATGCTCTGAGGATGTAGCATTAGCTGTTATTAAAGGGTATGCTAAGAATTTAATGGTTGATAAAGCTATGGAAATTTTTCAGAACATGAAGAAAATTTTTGGCTGTGAACCTTGGATTAGGTCTTATAATACAATGCTTAATGCTTTTGTTGTTTCTAATCAGTTTAGTAGAGCTGATTTGTTTTATAAGAACTTTGGAACGATGAGAGTTTCGCCGAATTTGGAAACATACAACGTTTTGATTAAAATTGCTTGTAAAAGGAGGCAATTTGATAAGGCGAAAGAGTTGTTGGATTGGATGTGGGACAGTAATTTGAAGCCCGATGTTTATAGTTATGGAACTTTGATCAATGGGCTGGTGAAGAGTGGATGTTTGGATAATGCCTTGAAGATGTTTGATGAAATGTTTGAAAGAGGGTTGCATCCGGATGTTATATGTTATAACATTTTAATTGACGGGTTTTTGAAAAATGGTGATTATGATAGTGGAATGAAGATTTGGGGGAGGTTGGTGAGTGGGTCGAATGTTTACCCGAACGTGGTTAGCTATAATGTGATGATTAATGGTGTATGTAGGTGTGGTAAGTTTAATGAGGGATTGGAACTTTGGGATAGGATGAAGAAAAATGAGCAAAGAATGGATTTGTTCACGTGTAGTACGTTGATTCATGGTTTGTGTGAATTGGGCAATGTCGATGGGGCTGAGAGGATTTTTAAGGAAATGATTGAGAATGGGCTATCGCCTGATGTAGTGGTATATGGTGCATTGCTTAATGGTTATTGTAAGGCTGGGGAGATTAAAAATTGTTTTGAGTTGTGGGAGCTGATGGGGAAGGAAGATTGTCGTACCGTCACTAGTTATAATATATTGATGAGAGGTTTGTTTGAGAATCGAATGGTGGATGAGGCGATTTCTATTTGGAAGCTTATGAATGAGAATGGTATTGTTGCCAATTCATCATCTTATGGAATTCTAATTCATGGGTTGTGTAAGAATGGGTATCTGAACAAGGCTTTGAAGGTCTTGCAGGCTGAAAGTGAAGGAGAAAAAAACATGGATTCATATGCATACTCATCAATCATTAAGGGGTTGTGCAAAGAAGGAAGATTGGATGAAGCAACTGCTATGTTTGATTTGATGGCTAAACAGGGATGTAAACTAAGTTCTCATGTTTGCAATGCGCTAATCAATGGATTTATCAAAGCATCTAAAATTGAGGATGCACTCAGATTTTTTGGTGAAATGAGCAGTATGAATTGTTCGCCAACGGTAGTCTCCTATAACGTGCTGATAGATGGGTTATGCAAAGCTGAAAGATTTGGTGACGCCTATAAGCTTGTGGAGGACATGCTGCAAAAAGGGTGGATGCCAGACATGATAACATATAGCTTGTTGATGGATGGTCTTTGCCAGAGCAAAAAGTTAGACCTGGCCCTTAAGTTATTGAGTAAAGTTGTTAGCAAGGGATTCAAGCCCGATGTGACCATGGTTAACATTATAATTCACGGCCTTTGCTCTGCTGGTAACCTTAAGAACGCGTCGCAGCTCTTTTTGAAAATGAGCCAATGGGAATGTCTCCCGAATCTTGTCACATATAACACCCTTATGGAGGGATTTTATAAAGCTAGAGACTGCAAAAATGCTTCAGCAGTTTGGGCTCTCATTTTAAGAGGCGGGCTTCGGCCAGATATTATTTCTTATAATATTACTCTTAAGGGGCTTTGTTCTTGCCATAGAATGTCAGATGCCATTTTATTCTTGAATGATGCTCTTAGTAGGAAAATCCGTCCAACTGCGATTACATGGAATATACTTGTCAGAGCTGTTATTTATGGCTGAAGTTGCACCTGGTGGGTGTCAGATGCCAATTTCTACTTTATTGATGCTCTGAGTAGGTATTTCACCTGCGATCAATTAAATATACTTATCTGGTCTTGAAGTTTAATGATTTCAATCACGCACTTTAAGTTATCAGGTCCTAATTTCATTTCTGTTGCCCTTCAGTAACCTAGATTTGCATTTCCGCATATGAAGTCTCACAGTGTACTAAGAGAAGCTTATCTTCATGGTTGCAGGGTTGCGATTATTATTCACTATCAAAGCACGTTTGTCTGACCTGTATATGGTAATCTTTTTTTTAAGCTGTAAGTAAGCTCTCTACTAACTTCAGTTGATCAGATGATTTTGCGAAATGGGATATTCAATCAGAAGCGCAATGCTCTGCTAATCAAGCATGCGTCTTTTTTAGAAGCGATTTAAGATTCTGTGGTTGATACAGGTTGAATGCATTCCTTGCAATTGAGACGTGGTTGAAAATTTCTCTGAGATACTGGATTTTGATAGAATTATGCCTCCAACTCAATTCTGATAAGCTTTATTATGCTTTTGTTTAGTAATGTCAACTAAACTATATTCCATTTAACTTTCTGGTGCAGAAATTGAGGGGACAGTAAAGGCAACAGAAATGCTCGTGCAACAAAATCGGGCTATTTATTGGGATGAAATATTCTTAAGGTTAAGGTATTGCTGTGCTTGGATTTCTTTTACTAACTACGGATTTGGGTAAAACAAAAAATATCATCAGAAGAATTGATTGTGTACGGCAGAATTGAGCCCTTTGCCTGGCGTGATTGGGGAGGGGATGTTTCTTTATGATTCTCATAGTTCATAAAAACATATATACTCTCCATTTTGAAGTTGTTTCCCTTGATTGTGCTACCCTAGATGTTTCATGCAAGCAGGAATCTTTGATCAGTTGGACTTCGCAGTTTTAATTTTAGACCTTGAGGACTTCATGAGGGGAAATTGTGCTTGCACTCTCCATCTCACCCAATATGTATGGATTGCCTGCTTGTCCAGTGAGGATCAGTACTAACCTAAAACATTTAGTTGCTACTGGTTTGTATCTTTGTAAAGAAGCTAAGAGCTTTTCAACTTAGAGAGCATGTGAAAGACTTAAATGGTTAAGTTAGGAAGAAAAGATTTGGACTCAGATTTTACTTCACTGACATTTTAAAGACAAAGTTGCTATCAGATTGTAAAACAAAAGTATAATACTTGGCATCACTGGATCCACCATTCCAAATAGCTATATTATTATAGAGGGAATAGAATTCACAATCCGTTAAGGGATTAGTAAATCAGGAAAACTTTGATCACAGCTTCTCCTTTTGTGCTGGAGATAAGCTGTCGATATTCATATTCAGATTTCAAAGTTGTCAGACTTCTATCATCACCTTTAGAAAGTAAAAGTTGACATGTCCTATTTTGTTGATCAATATAAAGCATCCTACACGAATCCAACTTTGGTGGTTACAGTTGCCATGAAACTTGGATATGCTGATGCAAGAGAAAAGTTGGCATGATATATCAGCCTCCAATAATAACATTTTATTTCGAGGTTATAACTCATGCAACATTAATATCTAAAATTTTGCTCTTCTGTACAATCAGTGGAAGAGAGGATTTCACTTTTTCTCTTCTTCAGATGTCTGCTTTTGCTTTGTTTCTGTTTCTGATAACACACTCTGCTCGTAGATGACTTGAGAAAGCAAACCCACCAAGATCGCTCCAAGAACTGCACTCTTTGTCCAGTCAGAAGGTGAAGAGATTAAGGCATTCGTAATCCCAACTACTACAAGACCGATAAGTGCAAGGTAGATATTCCTTCTAGTCTTTGACTCAGCATTTTCTTTACTGAGTTGCTTAATCTTGTCCGTTTCCTCCTTAGCTTTTGCTTTATCCACTGATTGTTTTTGCCCTAAGTTCTTGAAGAAAAGCCCTTCATTTCTCTCTTCCTCCATTTGGCCCTCAAAGTCCGCCAATTTCTTCTCGTTCTCCTCGATCTCCTGTTTGTTTAACTCTATTGATTCTTCAAAAGCTTGCATCCGGCTCTCTATATTTTCCATTATCTGTTCCACAAAGAAAGAAAAAAAGAACAGATCAAGAACTGTGTAATTGAGAGATGAAAACTGAACTCCACTTTCTGTATGATTTGGTTATGCAGTTGAGTGCAGACCCTTGCACCAGCTTCATCAAGCTCTTTGAGGGCATTTTCACCAATCTGGTCAATCTCGGCATTGGCATCTTCAGCAAACTGGGACAGATAAGCAGATCTTTCGTCTAAGTAGTCGGTAAGACGAACTTTCTGAGTTTGAAGCTGGGCAATCCTCGCAAGCAGTTCCTGCTGACGGCTGTCTCCTTGAGGCGGAGGTGGAGGAGGAGGAGCGTCTGAATCTGAATCATTCGGTTTGCAGAGGCAGAGAATGGGGTGTTTTTTCCTTTGGAAGTGGCCATTTTTGTTAAAAAGAGCATGTTGCTTTGGTGTCAAAGGGGAGTGAATTGCTTTTAGATGAATCATTCTTCGAATATTTGCTCCAGTTTGTTGGGAGCAAACTGGAGTAGTGGTGTAACTATGAGAAGGGGTGAAGTGTTTGTGAACCTCTGATTGAATGCACCTTATCCATTTTATTTGCAGATATTTAGAAACAAAAAAGCGAATGGGTCATTATCTATTATTAGTCGTTGTGGGCCACGGAGGGGAGTTTACACTTTACACTTTGTGTGTCTCGTCTTACTAGCTTTCTGTTGGAATTGATCATTGGATATAAATATTAATTTATGATCCTATTATTATTTAGGTACTAATAAATTTATGTAAAAAAATGTCATTGAATTTACAAATAATTTTTCATAATACCCAATTATTAAATATGTTAAAATTAAAGTTTATATATTTTTGGATTGGAATTCCTAATCCATATTGTAAAACTTTAGTTGTAAATATAACTCTAACTTTCTACTTTTGTGTAATCAATATATATAGGTACACTAATATTTTTTGTTTTTCTTAAAATAAGGTAAAGTAAGAACGTAATTTGAAGAAAATGTTTGCTTTAAACTACATCTTTTGGAATTTTTTTATCTTTATTTTTTCTTTCCTTTTCCCTTTATTTTACCTTTTTTGTTTTTCTTCTTCTTTCCCCACTTCCGTTTCTTCTGCTCTAACTTTCTGGTCAGCTTTCCTAACCAATCTAAATATTTAACTCTAAAAATAATACCTCAAAATCGTTAAATTATATAAGTAAAATTACATAATTCTCAAAAATTATCTGCTCATTTTATTTAAAAGTTCCTCTTATAAATTCAACATAAGAGTATTCACATGAACTTGGACTCAAATTTTAAGTTTCAGTCTCCATGCGAACATGGAAAGCTATGTTGGCCCAAAGGTAATCAACTGAACACTTTTCGCCGAAAAATTATACTACGTATAAGGTAAAATACTACTTATTATTGATTAAAAAATAGACTTCGAACACCCTTGCATAATTGAACACCCTTATTGAATTTCATGGCTTTGCCACTGCATGCGAAGGTAGTGTATGCAAAAGCTCTAATGAATTTAACAAATTCCAGATAAGATACTCATATTATATTGGAGTTTCTATAGGCTTAAACAGGGGAGATCCTTGTCCATGGGTATTGTCTGGTGCTTCTAGTTCATATCCATTACTCTTTCTCCGTGAATACTGTATCATAAAATTCAAATGAAAATGAAAAGAATTACGTAATTAATTAGGAAGAACAAAGAAGAACAATCTTGTATTATTGTTACCGTAACGGTTATCGCAAACTTGACATTCACCCTGCATAATTCTGTTAGAATCATAGCACATTATTGCGGTCGTCGTCATTCTCATTTCCATTTCACAAAGGCAACTAAAAATTCAAAATGTTAACAATAAAAATCATAACTGTCTCCACCTTAATCATCAGAATGATTGGAGTTTATCTTTCACTGGGCATAATCCATAAACCACCATATTACGAACCAGAATCAACAACTTCTAGTACTATGTATTTTAGCAGCCACGATAATTAGCACCAGCCCACCAAATGAATGAGTCGGTATTAATTTTCTTAAAATATAGCCTACCTAAATAGATTTATACTTCAGCTCTTCTGCCAAGTACCGAAGCATTATTCTTCATACTGAGAAAAATTCTACCACAAAATCACGTAAAAGGCCCACATTTTTTCCCACAAAGAAAAAAATAATTAAGCAAGGAAAACGAAGAAATAAAACCAAGAACTTTAAATAAATATCTCAGGGACAAAATATTCAGTCATCATGATTTTCAAGTTTCATAGCAAGATAAAAGAAAGAAAAAGACCTTGTACAGTACTAAAGAAGTAAAGTAAAGAAAAACAAAGAAGGAGAAATTAAAAGGACCTGCAATTCTCTAAGTAAAGTATGGTGAGCTTGTACGTACAAACATTGATACAAAGAACATGTCATAAAGGGTTAAATTTAATAGTATTCTTCTTTCAATTTCCAGAAGAGACGTACTAAATTTAAATTTAACATTCAAATATATTATAAAAAAGATACATTAACATTACCGTCAATAAATTGCTTAAAGAATATCACAAAAAAAAAACTATTAATCACATCTTGGATCACTTATATTAGAAACGTACACCACCAAATTTACTTGTTATGCAATCCTTCAGTTTGTAAGGTAACGTCCCAAACCTTAATAATGGAAGACTGCATGATCTCATTCTTCTTTAAATAATATGGCATGAATAATGACAAATTTGTTCTCTAATTTGTAACGCCACTGAAAGGTAAAAGAGTGCATGCTTTGAGCAAAAAGCTCCAATTTATTATATTTCCTTCAGGGAAAATCCAAAAAAAAAAAAAAGAAGAAGGAAAGACAAAAATAATGATCCTAACTAAATCAAAAGTTTGTATAACAAAACACCTTCCATTACAGAAGGGGCATAAAAAGGGCAAAAGCTTTAGCAATTCAGTATGCAAACAGATTAGCATTTCTACAAATCGTAACCGAGTTATGTAAATTGAAATAAGAAAAATCAACTCAATTCTATAGGGACAAACTGACAAAAAAAATTTGGTAGAGAATGATAAAGAGAATTCTCACCACGCACAAATGAAGATTGGGGATAAAAGATTATGATCTATCTGTATATTCTTCCCATGAATTGATGGCATGTTAAATATATAATAGTAGTCGTCATTGAAGGTGAAATTATTTAGATAATTAGTAATAGAGACTTTTGGACTTTCTAAACTGAAAAAGAATTGGGGAGAAGATGAGTAACGGTCTAACGGAGGTGTAATTAACAGAATACAATTAAGAAGTGACTTTTGAATATTTTAGTGTAGCACAAAATAGAGAAAAATAGGAAAAAAGCCAAAAATTTGAGAAAAAAAATAAATGTGATTCTTGGCCAAAGAGACATACCACCTCACTTTTCAATTCTCCTCTTTTATATATAGATATAGATTTGTTTTGTCCCTTTTGCTATTATATGTCAACTATGTTTCAATTCAAATTAAGTTGAGGAAATGGGCCCTCGCGAAACATTTACAACGTGTAAAAGTGTCATGATATACACATTCATTATTATGAGGATTCGTGACAATTTGGCTAATTTATGATAAATGACTATATGTGCGATGGTTATTTTATAATTATGGGATTCATGATAATTTAACTATTTTTACTGTGGCTGTTTTAGCATAATTTACCAATTTTTACAATGACCAGCGACATATCACATTTCTGTTATATCACAACGTCAAAGTATTCCCTACGTCCTATAAATTTGCTGTTGATTTTGTTGAAACAAAGGTTGAATTCAAGTAGGGTTATTCAGAAGATAACTCGAATAAAAAAAAGTGTTAATTGTTTGTTGGTATCGGACTCTCGTATTAATGATTCGAGAACGATTTGTAATTATATGACTAACGGGGTATCAATTCGAGTATCTGATAACCGATAAGCTCCCTTGATTGATCAAGCTTCAAGTAAAAAATATAATAATTACTCCGTATTTGGGGTTTAATTGATATGATATATAAAAAGATCTTTGTTTCACTATGATTCTTGTCCAAATTGATAACCGACAGATATGAACGGCCTGATATCCTGTCGACTTGGTGAGTGATAGTGTATTTAACTACTCATAACTGAATTAATAATTACAAACACCAAAACGTGATTTAAGATAAATGGAGTATATATTTATGTTAAAAAAAAAAAAGAACAAATGCAAGTTTGTCTGTTTTAACTTTAAAATTTATCAAATCAAAATATTAATGGGGCTTGGATTTAGGTAACATACAATAACTAGGGGCGGGCATCGGTCGGTTCGGTTCGGTTTTGAACATTATCGGTTTTGCCTATTGATTATCGGTTTACAAATATCATAACCCGATAACCAAACCGATAAGATATTGGTTATCGGTTATCAATTAATCGGTTATATATCGTTATCGGTTCGGTTATCGGTTTACCCGATAACATAAAACAACTAAAAAATTTTGCAATATATAAAACAAAGAAATCAAACTGCCAGAACGTGTAAACTGCCAACTTTTGTTGTTTCTTAACAAAAGCACGCTCCCACTTCTGTGCAGTATCTACTGATGTCTGGCGGAGAACTGGTGGTGAGTCTTGTGCCTTGACTCTTGGGGGCTGCGACGGAAACAAGAATGAGAATTGAGAGACAAACGACCGAAGACTGAAGAGTGAAGAGGGAATTAGGAAAATAAATAACCAGTATATACTTAAGGGTAAATTGGTAAATTATATCATTCTTATTGGGTTATCGGTTTTTACCCAATAACAAAAATGCAAACCGAGTCCGAACCGATAACCCAATAAAAAAAAAAAATTTAACCCGTTACCGAACCGTTAACCTAATAACTCAATAAAAAATTAATGGTTCGGGTTATCGGTTTTAACCGATATATGCTCACCCCTAACAATAACCCAAAAAACGGCTGCGCAAATTAACGCTTAAAAGAAACAGAAAAAAGAAAAAAGAAAAAAGAAAGGATGAAAGTGTTTTATATACCAACCTTCTCCTTACAAACCCTTCCCGTAACCTTCTTGTACAAACATTCGACCCTTTCACCTTTCCCAGCAAAATGTGGGTATTTTTCTCCGGGTTAATCGATGCAGCTGCAACAGGAGGGAGTAATTATGTGAAAAGGGTAGGGAAAGATCACCATAGGTTTAAGAGGTTCACTAAGTGGACAACAGAGGTGCTGTTAAAATAAAAATTTAATCTTGGAACTAAATTTTTTGAAATTTCCTAACGTCATTTTTTCTTTCTTTTTTGTGAAATTCAGAAGTGCAACAAGCATTATCCCCGCTATCAGCTTTTGATGTATGGAGTGAGGCACTCTCCTCCCATTGAGGAATCTGTGGGCAGGGCAAGACTTGCTTCTTCTGTTGGAGCAACCACCGTACTTCTGGTGAGCTAAGTTTCTTCCATTCTCGTTATTGCATTTATTACGGGAACTCCGACTCTACCAAGTGTTATTTCATCGATCTTATTTCTGGAAAATGGAGGTAGAAGAACTTTTTGACAACCAGATACTCCATAGATGCTAAATTTGCATTTTCTGTGTGGTGATGTGTATGATTGATTGGAAGTTTTGGAGTATGTTTGAATGAGAATGATTTAAGTACCTTTTTCATCATTGTGCTTTACTGGTGATATTGATTTGCAAGACACATTGTCAACAGATTTCAACCATCTGTTAGCTAATTTTGCTTTAGGGCTGGCAGTCGTTGGGTTCAATGTTAACTTTTTTCTTTACCCATCAAGGTTGGCTGTTGGCACACAAAGCTATCTCTCTATCTTGGGTCCTAAACTCTAACATTCTAACATTCTTTCTGGTGGATTATTTTGGTCATATGGAGTGACAAGACTCATCATCATTTTATGTTTATACACTATTGTGAAAGGAGAGAGAAGCTTAATGACCTGTTTAAGTGTTCCTTAGTCTTAACTCTTAAGTTAGTACAATACAATATCTAGTTATTCTCTTATTTGGTCATGTGGAGTGACAAGACCCATCATGTTAATACTCAACTGTGAAAGGAGAGGGAAGAGAAAAAAACTTCTTAATGACTTGCTTGACTAACAACGTATAGGAATTATTCCTTAGTTAGTACAATATAATACTTATGTAGTTAATCTCTAATTCTAGCAAGTTAAGTATTCTTCTATAATTGCATAATATTCTGCAGAATCGTAGAAAATGTTCTCCAATTTTCAAATATTTAAGTTAAATGAATCTAGACACATAATATTATTTATGCTCGTCGGCAATGGGGTGGTTGAGTGATTGAGGGATAGAAGTAACATCATGAAGATACCGGGTTTAAAGTCCAGCTACAACATTCAGTTTGAGACCATCTTTGTGTGGCAGTTTTATCCAGCACCTGTGTGTGAGCACGTGATTTTTGCTCTCACGACAATTACTCCAAAAGAAATTAAAAAATAAAACAAATTGTCTTTGTGTATAATTTTTAGAATTTGCGTGGCATTTCGGATAGTTATTTGTAGTTTTGTCTGTGATTGTTTATTTTTAATTAAAAATACAAAAATATGTTGCATGAATTTAGGATTTTATTCTGCTATTAGGAATTAATTAAATCATATTTGGTTGTTTCTAAAAAAAAAAGAAAAATGAAAATCACAAAAATATTATTTTTGGTAATTTTGTCATTTTTATTGTTTAATGGTGTGATTTTGTTTAATTAATATTTGATATTGTGTGCTAATCATTGTCAAGAATCAATTAATGTCTGTGTAATATAATTGTTGTTTTATAATTTATTTTAGGATTTTGGTAAATTCGGAATTAAACTAGGAATTAAAAAGGAAAGGAACAAAAAATAGAAAAGAAGCTTGGACTGGGCCATTTCATTTTGGGCCAAAATCAGGCTCAAACGAGACCTATACCCGGTCCAAACCTTCAACTCTCAAAGACGCATCAAACGACGTCGTTTCGAGACCAGCGAATCTCGACCATTCATCCATCCTCATCCAACGGTCCAAGACCTCACCCCATAACCCGATCCGTTTTCCCTGGATCGACCCAGTCCCCCACTGAGACCAAAACGACCCTATTTTATATAAGTGAAGTGATCCAAATCGTTGATCTCATCAGATCTAACGGCTTGGATTCACTCACCCATCATATATATATATTTTCAAACACACCCCACACCCCCTAAGCTACCCCCTCTCTTCGTCTCTCTCAACGAACCAGACGAACCCAAGAACCCTAGCCAGCCGCCACCCCTCCCCTTCGCCTGAAACCCAGCGGCGGCAACGCCGGTGACCACCAAAATGACACCCCTGAGCCATCTCCCCATCCACAACACGAATCCATGAACCATTTGCCTCGTATCATCCCACATCTTCTCGAATCTTCAATCGAAGTTTCGAGCTGACCCTGAAACCACCCCAATCCACCCCTAATTAACACCACACCACCACTAGGCTTCCCTCATCCCTAAACCATCAACAGATTCCCTCGAATCTCGTTGGATCTTCTCGAATCTTCGATCAAAGATCTCCCCTCCAAGCCCTAGCCTGTCCCCTTGACCCCAGACTAACACCCAATAATCTCCTTTACCTCCTCGTCCTTAATCCCTAACCAAATTGGCTCGAACATGAGTAAAAACCGTCGAATGACGGATCTAGGGTTCAACGGTTCAAGACGTGTCAAAGCTTCAGGGTCGATTGGGTTCTATTCAGTATTGTAGGCCTATTTCTCACGAAATAGACGTATAATACTGACTAGGACTCAAGTTCGAAAGGGCATACTGGTAAAATCCGAGAAAAGAACAGTAAGTTCTTAATTTCTTTTGTTTCCTTCTATAGTTTTGTTTGTCTGTTTTAAATTGTATCTTTGTTTTGATCTATTTCTTGTCATTTGTTCAGTACTTCTTTCCTTCTCATCAGACCGTTTATTGGGTCCAAGTTCTCTAATTGTTGGTTATATGCTGTAAACTGTTTGGTCAATTTATTGATTAGTTCATTATGTGTGAGTTAGTTTAACCTGATAGTAGTTTTAATCCTGGTCTTGATTTCATAGTCCATTTCAGTAGGTTTTTTTTTGTTGTTTTGTTTAAATAATGTATGTTAGACTTTCTGGCATTGGTTCAGGTTTGTCCTATATATGTGATGTGTGGCTCTTTGTTCTTTGATGTTCATCAATTTTCGTATAAGTTCAGTATATCACAGGATTTCCTTCACTCTATTTAACTTAATTTGGAATTATAAATTAATTAATCATTCCCATAATGTGTCACTGGTGATTGGAAGTTTGACCTGGATAGTTCAATAGGGTTGTGTTCTGATTCATGGTAATGCTGTTATTGGGTCTTCTGTTAAGTATCAATGAATTTTGATTCAGCTTTAGCTTCAACTTCAATGTTCTGTTAAGCTCCTTTGTTTGTTGATGTGATTTTGGTTTGAAGTCAGTTTATTTGTTTCATTTAGGAGTCAATTTAGTTAGTTATTAGGTTTTGAATTGGTTATAGCTGATGATGTATAGTAGGGAACCCTAGGGTAAATAACAGTGGGGTCTCAGGGGTAATTTGGGAAGTTCAAAGGTTTGAAATGGTCATTTTAAGTAGTCTGTCCGTTAGAGTACTCAAATACCTTTAAACTAATAAATTATTTAAGTAATAGTGGGGGACAAACATAATGGGGAGGCAAAGGGATGGATTAAACAAATAGGTACCCATCACTTTGATTTAAAAATGACACAAGACACTTGATAGGGGGGTGGGCCTAGTTAGCTTTCACTAATTTGAAATTAGCAATAGTAAGTAATAATAAAAGGGTAAATAACCCACATAGTTAGAAGAATATATTGGCTGGAAAGTAAAAGAGATAAAGGGGTAGTAATAATAGGTTAAAAGTAAAAGAAAATGGGCTGAAAAAGGGGACTGCCTTTGGTATAAATAGAGGTCATTTGGGACTAATAAAGAGGACTGAAAATTGAAAAAGGATAAAAAGTTCAGATTGAGAGAAATTTTTCGGGGGTCAAAAACACAAAGAATATTAGTGATTTTTAATCAGTCTGTGAGAGTTTGAGTTTGAAGTTTGGTCTTTGAAATCAAATTCAGGAATCAAACTCAAAAGGGTTTATTCTTAGACATATAAGAGGAGTTCACTTTCAGTTTTTTTGGGGTCAGTGTATGAGAGATTGCTGCTGTTTTCAATTGGGGTCCATTGGTTGATGTTCAGTTGAGTTTGGGTTTATTTGAGTAGTGTTGTTCGATTTCAAAACACTCCTGATTTCTATATGTGTTTCTGGGTTCAAACTTGACATAATTTGGGGTTGTTGAGTTCAAATTGCTGCTGTTAATCTTCCCTGCCTCGACTGACTCTTTTTCTTCATTGTAATCTCGAATTCAGGTACACTTTTGTCTCCAGTTGAATGTGGAATCTTGGTTCAAGTGTATAAATGATCCAGAAAGTCAATGACAAGGAACTTTGTTAATCTGAATCTATTGAGAATTATTGTAGTTTTAATACTCCAATTAGATTACTTATGTTGTCAAGAACTATATTGAACTACTAGACTGATTTTGGTTATTTTTGGCTGATTTTGGGTTAAGTTAACAATTAGTTTGGTTTGGTTCACATTGATAGTGTAATGCATGATTTTAGTAAGCTCCTGGGTGTATTCGAATGAACTGTATGAGACTGTATTTGGACTAAAAAAATGGATTTCGAGTTGGCTAGATCATGTGAATTATTGGATTGTTAAGTATTAGATCCTCCTTTGTAGTTCGTCATTAAA